CCCTCAGGTCGCATAGCGCGATGGGCCCTGGAGTTGCAACAACACGCCTTCGACATCGAGTACCGCAAAGGAAAACTGAACTTAGTCGCGGACGCACTGTCTCGACAGCCACTAGAGACGCTACTACGAACAACAGTGGCGGAACCACGATGCAAGTGGTGGCACAGACGGGTCGAAGAAATGCGTACCAACCCGGAGAAATACGCCGATTACATGATACAGGAGGGGCAGCTCTACCGTCATATCCCGTGTCGATCCCAGGACGAGGAAGCAGTCCCCTGGAAACTGTGTGTGCCCAGCCCCCTCCGTCGACGAGTACTGAGGGAAAATCACGACATACCAAGCGCGGGGCATATGGGTATTCGCCTAACAGTAGCACGGATTGCCAATCGGTATTATTGGCCAGGAATGTTTCGCGACATCAGCCGGTACTTCCGTCAATGTGAGTCCCGCCAGAAGTACAAGGAGGCACAACACAAACCAGCCGGCAAGATGCTCTCGCAGGTCGCTCAAGAACCTTTCGCCACGGTGTGTGCCGATTTCATCGGACCCCTACCACGGTCCACGCATGGCAACACCATGCTACTTGTGTTTTTCGACAGATTTAGCAAGTGGGTCGAGTTGGTCCCCATGAGACAGGCCACAGCGGAAGGACTTCGCCGCGCGTTTAGGGAGCGTATCCTCGCCCAATTTGGTATACCCAAAGTCTTCATCTCGGACAATGGTGTACAATTTACTAGCACGCTCTGGCAGCGCTACCTCCAGGAGGTGGGGGTGCGCCAACAATTTACGGCCCCGTATACACCCCAAGAAAACCCGACGGAGCGCGCCAACCGCACTGTAAAGCGAATTATCGCACAGCTTACGAAGACACAACATAGGCGGTGGGATGACCTCCTCCCAGAAATCACACTCGCCGTAAATACGAGCGTCACAGTCTCCACAGGATACAGCCCGGCGTTCCTGGTGCAAGGACGAGAACCACGACTACCAGGAGCACTCTTCGACGAAATAAATATCGGGACAGGCGAAATAGCCCCGACGGCCGAGGAAAAGTCCACAAGGATGCAGGAAGCATTCAGGTTCGTGTATATCAGGCCCGTTCACGGCGACCATGGCGGCGCAAAAACGCGCGCACATGCTGAGGGTATTCCAGCAACCACCGGAGGCAGGGACACCACCGCCACCACCACGACCCACGGAGCCTCCAGAGGCAACAACACCACTGCCCTCACCGCCACACACACCAGTACAACCAGAGGTAGCACCACTGTCAGCGTCACCCCCCCGAACACCAGCACCGACTGAAGCAGTATCACAACCACAATGTTCGTTAACCCCACCAATGGGACAAACGGTAATCCCCGCCGACGAAATCGACGGGCCAGCACTAGACCAGTTCCCGGAGATCGCCGAGAGGGCCCGGAAGGCTATACGCGACATAGCAGAGGGAACCTGCGCGTCCTGTGTGAGGTTCCGCGCGGGAGGATACCGAGTCAACGTATACCGGTGGGGCGCAAGTATAGTTCAGAAACATCCCAAGCCTTAAGCCTGCCGAAGAGGGGGGGAAGTGTGAGGACTAAATATCCGCGGAATTTAGCCCACACGAACACAAACCCCTACACCAACAATAACGACTACAGCAACATCATCGAAACGGCTAACCAACACGGGAGACCGTATCAACACTCCTTTGCGACACCGTCACCATAGCAACGCAACATGTAGCCACACAACTCAGCAACACGAAGAACACCAGCTATAACAGAAGTGACTCAGAAACATACGAGTCAGTCAGCACGGAGCTGTGGTCGTGAACGCACAGCTACAAACGAATAGCGCACGACTTGTTGATAGGCGACTAAACAAGGCTTGTCTATTCAAGGGTAGAGTGCCGCCACTCCGCAGTACACCGTGAGTCAGCCGACGGCGACGCCAGTTCGCCCACCAGCACAACGCCGAAGTCACCCAGCAGCCGCGCACCAACGGAGAAGCGCCGAAGTCACCCAGCAGCCGCGCACTAACGGAGAAGCGCCGAAGTCCCCCAGCAGCCGCGCTCCATCGGGGAGCGCCAGCAGTCTACGCATCAGTAACGGAGCTGTGGTCGTGAACGCACAGCTACAAACGAATAGCGCTCGACTTGTGGATAGGCGACTACACAAGGCTTGGCTATTCAAGGGTAGAGCGCCGCCACGCCACAGTCCACCGCAAACACGCGCGACAGCGACGCCCGATCGTGGGATAACAGTGCGCCGGCATAGCAGAGCGCCGACATCGCACAGAAGCAGAGGGCCGGCATAGTAACGCCGACGTCACATACTAGCAGAGCGCCGACACAGTAGCGCAGACGCCGCCTGGTAGCAGGGAACCGACGTCGCACAGAAGCAGAGCGCCGGCGTCGCACAGCGACAGAGCGGTGATACAGCAGCGCCGGCGTCGCACAGCGACAGAGCGGCGATACAGCAACGCCAATAGAACAGCACCGTTAGGAATTTACGTCCCGTTAACGATATTATGTTTGTAATGTTAAGAATTTCCACGTGATAGAAAATAAGCAGCAATTACTACTATTTGCAAAGGCCCCACAATATAAATTTATTGTAACGGACCCTGGGCACGGCGAGTATACCCCAGCATAGAAAACAGAAGCATCGGGGCCTTAACAGGAAAACGCTTCGTTACAATATCTCTGAAAGTGTGCATGGTAGAGTTTTGGAAATTGGTATGGAGATATACGAAATCGACCGCATACCCTTGGAGAAAAATTTTAGCTATAGTAAAAAGGGGTGTGACATCTCCCATACAAACATTTTTCATACTGCTTATCTCTGGAATTTTTTTGTTAGAGTTCTAGAGTTTTGTATGGAGATGTACGAAATAAATCGCATACTCTTGGAGAAAAATTGGAACTATTGGAAAAGGGGGCGTGGCATCTTCCATACAAACCGAATTTTTCATACTGCCTATCTTTGGAAGTGTTCATGGTAGAGTTCTGGAACTTGGTATGGGGATATACGAAATCAATCGCATACTCATGAAGAAAGAGGGCAGCTGTTGGAAAGGGGGCGTGGCTCCTCCCATATAAATCGAATTTTTTACTGCATATCTCTGAAAGTATTCATGGTACAGTACTGGAACTTCGTATGGAGATATGTATATAGTTGAAATCAAGCCCATACTCATGGAGAAAATTTGGGCTTTTTCAAAAGTGGTGTGAGGCCTACAAACCTACCTTTAGCTATCTTTGAATGCATTTTTTTATTCTCCTGTAGGTGTGTTTGTGAGTGAAATCCTCCTAAATGGTTGTACGGATTTTAACGAAACTTTTTGTGTATTTGAGTGGGTCTCTGGATGGTTTAGTTTCACAATTTAATCCGACAGTTGGCGCTGTAGTTGAGTTATTACTAAAAATTTTATTTATGATCCGATTTGGCTAATGTTTTAAATATGTATGCAATACTATTGCAAAAACGTGCTGCCAAGTGGTGCTGAAGTCGCGCTATTACTAAAAATAGCCAAGTGAGAAAAGGGGCCGTGAAGGTCAGATTAACTCGACCTGTGCACCATTGAGTATATTGACGGTCCTGCGTTGCAATTGGCCCAATGGATGTGATTTTCCAATACTATTATGCGTTCAAACCTTTAAGGTATTTCGTCTGAACAATGATTCGCACCCATTTTGAAATTGCCACCTACTATACTGTAAAGCTTCTAGGACATTCACTATAGAACCGGGTCATTGTTGCCGCCAGGGAGTGAAGAGGAAAAAATTTATTTCGCTTTGCGAATAACCGTGCTATGAAATGCCGCACAACTGGAGAATTTCAAGAACGGATATAAAACTATGTTCCCATTGGCGTAATTTAGAGGTCAATCTTAATTTACGCATAAATTAATTACAAAATAAGTAATTTCGCCTTGTAAAGTCTCTCAGTAAATTAAGATAAAAGTACGTAGTTTATCTTAAACCAAGAACCAAATCACGAACAAATCAGTGTCGGCTCTAATTTTATCGATAATAATCGAAAAAAGTATTGTCCCACAACTGATATGTCATTGTGTTTGGACGTTTTTGTTTTTAATAATCGCGCGTGGTAGTTTGTAAAATATTTCCAGAAGCTTTCTCTTTTGATCACTCATCTAAAATCTAAAAAATTACCACAAACAACTCAGAATATAAAAATATACGCAATTACTCACATTCGCGATCTCTTTTCGTTAAATAAACAATAACACAGGGTTGCTACAAAGCTGTCAAGACAAATAAAGAAACGCGTGTATGAACGCACTAAATTTAGTGAGGTATTTTAAACGAAACTAAGTATTTTATGTTGGTAATGTGAACATAGTTTAACACTTTCCTTAGGTTATTTAAAGCGGCAAATAACCACCAAACCTTAACCTTAGCAGACAAATGTGCCAATGGAAATCGTAAACGTGAATTGTTGGTAAAAATGTTGGAAAAAGTTTCAATAAAATATATAAAAATTTTGGGCGGGGCGAAGTTCGCCGGGTCTGCTAGTTACTTATAAAGCGATTTTTAATCTTCGTTGCTTAACACACATTTTTTCAATTACTTCTTTTGTTGTAATCGGCACATCATTATGTACCGCTAACATCGTTAAACCATTCAGCCGCTCCCTAATTGTATAAAAAGAAAGGACAAATAAGATAGCATATGCAACAATTGAGTAGTCCACTTGCAAAGTGCGCTATGTAAATTTTTTTTAGATTTTTAATTTCTGGTGGGTTTCATGTCCACTAACAGCAGAGTGAAAAATTTTTCTATATTCTGAAAAAAATAGCATGAAATGTTAACTACTCTTGCAAAAGTCGCTATAATACTTATTTATACACTTTCAAATGTCTCCTCTTCGTACGAACTTAGAAAACTGCAAGAAAACGTGGTAGTTTCGGTGCCTAGTGGAAGAGGTCGCAAAAAAGAAGCAAACCAATCTTCCTAGAGGAGAGAACGCGAAAAGCTAAAAAAAAGCTAGCTATCTAAAAGTTACTGTTTCAAAACATGCAATATTAAATTTTTAAATATAAAATTTGCAAATCTACCGTACTGCAATTTTATTTTTTTAATGGTATTAGGCTCTTAAATATCCAAATTTTCAGGTAATAAAAAAATATACAGTTCGGATGTTACTTTTTGTCGTAGACTTTTTTTAAATTTATGGTTTACTTTTATAAAATCACATAACGCTGTTTGCAAGTGGACTACTCATATATTCATTAAAAGATAATTTGTCATCCGTCTGAAATAAAAAAAATTTTAAATCAGAAGGATAAAATAGTATTGTGTTATTAATTCAAAAGTAAATAATCGTAGTTCAATTACGAAGGGGGGAGAAGATCTATCCCCCCATATCCTCCCTTGGCTACGCCACTGCACATAGTATTGTAAGTATGCATATCGCACACGTTCTTCAAAAGTGACACAAATCAAAATTACACGTTCGTTAGTAAATACAAAAGCTATTTCGTAGCACATGCTAATCATGTTGGTAGTCTCCCAGCCAATAGGTTTTTTTTAACAACTTATATGAAAATTTTGCTCCAGCTTTTCCTTAAAGGCAAATAAGAGCTCTGTGTACATTTTTAGTGCATAATTTGAAAAACTCCAAATTTCGAGTTGTGTCACTTCTCAATATCGTGTGCGATATGTAGTATGTATATGTCCTGAAGACCAGTGTGCTGAAAAGGGCTTGCCAATAAACCCACTGAAGTCCACCATTGTCTGCTGGAGCGCCCTACTACTGTCCAATAGGATCGGGAAGAAAGTTATCCTTCTACAAACCCTTCAAGGTCGGAATTTCTAAAAGAGACTGCTGAAGTGATAATAACTATGATTTACGAAGGGTCCCAAGTATGGTATACCGACGGATCAAAGATCCACGAGAGTACTATGGCAGGCGTATCTGGACGAAGATTCCAGGAAGAAGTCTTCGTAATCGAAGTCTGTGTAGAGGGCCCATTTGTCCAAATTAAATATTATGTCGTATATTCAGGCAGGTTAAAGGCCTTAAACTCTTTTAAAACAGCTTAGGCTTGTGGACAGCTGTAAAACTCTTTTGAAAGACTTGGAAGGCCACAATAGCGTAACGCTGTGGTGGGTTCCGGGACATGAAGGGTTTGAAGGCAACGAAAGGGCTGACTGTCTCGCAAAGCATGGAGCCCAAATGCGCTTGCATGGTCCCTTGCCTTTTGGAGCTGGTGGAGGAAATCCCAGAGCCCACATATCATAAATAGCAGACTGATACACCTTGGGGAACGATCTTCTTCATCCAAAATTTGAAACATGGCGCCCTCCAAAGGGCTTAACTTCTTAAGGGCCGTTTTCTAATGTAAGCAGTAAAGTTGCCTTTACTAACAGGGCAGATAAATTGTTCATCACTTTAAAGAGTTTTCGTTTTCTTATCTTACCGGTAAAATTACATTTTGTATTCCGTAGAGTGAAACTTCCCTACATTTCCGAGAGTAAAACTTCACTACATTCGTCATAAAATTTCAAAGGTTGGCAATGCAGCATAAGCAAATACAGAGCAAGAGCAACTGTTAGCAAAAACCAAAACCTTGGTTGAAATATCTAATATATTTGACAAAACCAAACCAAAATGAAATAAAACAAACGGCAATAACGGAAAATTTGCTTTATTTCACTTTTGAATGGGATATAATACCAAAATCTGAGTTTTGCTTTATTTCCAACAAAGGTTGGAATTAAAACAAATTTTGCCTTATTTCCTATTGCTTATTTATACTATTTGTAAAAAAAAAACAGTTTACTGACAGAAGGAAAAAGAACTTTGTTTATTCCAAAAATACAATTAAACCAAGGCNATTGTCAAAAATTTCTCATGCACATGCAACTTGTATGAGATCAACCGAAATTGAACGGCGTGCGTATGAAGCTAACTCAATTTCCAATTTTTGTTCTGCGTGACATTTTGATTTGACGTTTCGCTCAATGAAATCAAATGCAAACGCATGCAAGTCAATTTCGGGTGACGCAAAAAAACAAATTCGACGGCATGCGTACCAAAACGCAAGCCGCGAATATTAGGTTAGCCTGTATAGCAGCTGATTTGATTGTTTTCAAATTATTTGTTCTCGAAAATTTCTAATATTTTAAATTTTTTCTCACAAAAATTCTAAATTGTTAAAATCTATTTGCATGTGAAACATTTTCCATACAAAACCAGCGATTAAATAGCAGCTTTTGGAAAGCTCGCCCAAGTCAGCAGCACAACCGCTGATTACTGGGCCTGGCACAGGATGGATCAATGCTTCGAGAAGCGAACCAATTTACTAAGAAAGAAAGTTGCAACAATTTTCATTTTTTCAATTTAAATTTTTTACCTTACTCGTATTTTGCATGGCACGCTTTGATGTAGAAGAAAAAAATCAGAACAGTTTTTGGCACCTTCGATACCAGAAGCAACAGCAAAATACAGGCAAATGTTGTTTTTGCTCAAATGCTCTAAACCTGTTTAATAGGCCTTAAATTAAACAAAAAATGGGATATAATTCATATGAAGAAAGTAATATTCACAAAATATTTTCCTTATGAAAAGTCTTACAAAATATAGGAAAAGCATCGTCTTTAAAAACTGCTCCGCATATTGGACATAGCGCTTTTGTATGCATTTTTTCTGCATGCTTTTTAATACATGAGGCGATTCACGTCAAATGTCCCAAGCGCGCGGAGCGGTGCAAAACAAGCCTGTTTTCGAATAGCTGAAAAGCAGGCAGAAAATGGGAAAAATCATTCAAAAACCATGATTTATAAATTTTTGTATGGTGTTATGCGTTTTCCAAAATTTTCCCATTTTCACGGTGAAAATCCGCAACGAAATTTTATTTGTAATTTTTCTCAATTATGGTAATTTTTAAAACGGTTTTAAGTAATCTCAATCGAAAGATCAGGTCTTTTTACATATGAATCACTAATAAACAAAAGGGACTTTTTTGATTTGGCTGAGATTTCCTATGCGGAACCAATTGTTATTCGGCGCAAAGTATACTGAATTTTTTTATGAAACTCGGTGGGGATACTAATGGAAGGCTTCTTTAATTATATTTATCACTTTTACAATGTTGTTGCTAATAGTACTTAAGTTATTTGTTGTTAAAATATCCTCCGTACTATCACTATATTTTATTATAAAACTACCCTTATCACTTTTATTTATACAAATATACTATCCTTAAAAGGTTCTCATGCGTTTGTAATACTTTAATATACAACTATTAATTAGTTAATTAAGTAAAACGCGTTTATAAATGTCTTCACAAACTTTAACACATTTCACAAACAAGCACAAATAACAATGGCTGACAGCAACACAAAATGTGTGCTACCATACGTCACAAAAAAAATACACCACAAGAAGTGCGTATAATTACGGGGTATAAGTGCACAGTACGTACATTGCTATTATTAGAAAAAATAATATTAGGATCGATAGGGGTCTTACTCCTGATCATAACGATATAATATTTTTCAGGTGGAAATAATAGTGGTAGTAGCGCACTTTAGCTTACGCGGCCAAAAATGGACGAAAAATGTCTAAAGTGGTATAACGCAAGTAAAAATTGTGATTTTTGGCAATTTTTCTAAGGGGTCCCTAGGGGCCCCGTAGGGAGCCCAGGTGGCCGGGGTTGTACAATACGTTGAACTTTCGGCGAAGGCTGTTAAAAAGCAAACGTGGTTATGTAAATATTATTAAAGTGGCAACCGCCTAATTACCAATGGGATTTATCGTTTATTTAAATTCCGGGAACAGAAGTACCGCTACTTTTTAATTCCGCTTTAAGCAAGCAAGTTCTTTTTGCCTTAAGTTCAATTAAATAAAAAATTAGTGATACCGACTACGGTAAGTTTTATTACTTTTTCCCGATCTACACATATTATAGAATATACATATTTACAGATTCAGAAGTACCTTCGACGAGCACTAGAGCTGCAAGGGGAAACATTACCTCTGCGGAAATTCGCAGTATGTGGGCTACCTACAAGGTTCGTGATCAACTGGGGACAGCGGAGCAATGTATTCAGTTTGCTGAGGAGAACGGGTTGGTGTTGCGCAGCACACTTTGTTCTACACACAGAACACCGATGCCCATCTACTCCAAGGGTAATTCAGATTTGGGCAGCTTTTGTTGCCGGATGGGGCAGTGCCGGACCAAGTCTAGCGTTCGAAGAGCCAAGGGGACTTGGTTCGAGAACGCTAAACTGTCACTGCCCCACATATTCTACTTAAAGTACTGTTATTCGCGTCGTTTTACCCAGTTTAACGTTCAACTGGAGGACTATTTTGGGGGCCCCTGCTTGTCAAGCAGGACAATTACCGACTGGTGTAGTTACCGCAGGGAGGCAGTGGTAATATACCAAATTGACAAGCAGGAGCATGTCGGCAAAATAGGCGGTCCAGGTAAAATCGTCCAAATAGACGAGAGCAAATTCGGAAAACGCAAATTTAATAAAGGTAATTTCAATTATAATTACATTTCATCTATTAAAAAACTAAATTATTTACTTTATTCTATATTTTTACTTTTCAGGGAGGATAGTTGAGGGTCACTGGGTCCTGGGGATGATTGAGGACGGCAGCGAGTACCTCAGGCTGGAAGTGTGCCCGGAAAACGTCCGGTTCGCGGAGGTGCTCATACCTCTTATACAAAAACATGTAATCGAGGGTACAATAATCCGTACAGATTATTGGAAAGCGTACGACTGCCTATCGAGTTATGGGTATGAGCACCAAAAGGTCAATCATAGTGACCCAGAAAACCCTTTTGTCGCGCCGGATGGAACCCACACCCAACGCATCGAGTCACAATGGCGGGTTGTTAAAAGCTTTTTTCACAAAGATAATTTTAACAACCCCGCCAACTTTGCAGATTTGGTTGTTGAATTTTTGTGGCGGAAGTCTATTTTGAAAAATCGCGAACATCCATTTACTAAATTAATTGACGCCATTAAACGTACATATAAACAAAAGTAATATGTGGAGTGTTACATATAGTTTTAAGTTTTCAGTAATATGTGGAGTTTTACAATGTATAAATTTTTTATTATATTTTTATTATAGTTTTAACTTTTTTACTACTTTTAGTATATGTATATATTTATTATAGTTTTAAGATTTTAGTAGGGTGTAGAACACCAAACTTTTAGTTCTTTTTTAAAAATGTATATATTTATTATTATAGTTGTAAGATTTTTTTATCGTGTAGAACACGTTTTTGTTGTTTCCATAAATAAATAAGAGTACTTTGCATAATTTAAACGTTTTCTTTGAATAAAAATTAGTAAGTATAGGCTATAATACGTAAAATTCATTACCTTATGTGTATATTTTACCATAAATCAATACTTCGGTAAATAATGAAAATACTTAATAAAAAATCGCGCGATTTTTTATTAAAAATTTTCGCATGCGGCGCTTTTTCCATAAAAATCAATACTTCGATAAATAATGAAAATTTTTAATCAAAAATCGCGCGATTTTTCCATAAAAATCAATACGCGCGATTTTGTATTAAAAATTTTCGCCTGCGGCGCTTTTTCCATAAAAAGCAATACTTCGATAAATATTGAAAATTTTTAATCAAAAATCGCGCGATTTTTTATTAAAACTTTTCGCCTGCGGCGCTTTTTCCATAAAAATCAATACGTCGATAAATAATGAAAATTTTTAATCAAAAATCGCGCGATTTTTTATTAAAACTTTTCGCCTGCGGCGCTTTTTCCATAAAAATCAATACGTCGATAAATAATGAAAATTTTTAATCAAAAATCGCGCGATTTTTACTTAAGAATTTTCACCTGCGGCGCTTTTTCCATAAAAATCTATACTTCGATAAATAATGAAAATTTTTGATCAGAAATCGCTCAATTTTTGATTACAAATTTTCGCCTGCGGCGCTTTTTCAATCAAAATCAATACTTTAATAACAAAGTTAACATTTAAATGAGTTTGTACAACACGGCCATTAATGTAGCGATAAGTTCCACAACTTGCCAGAAAATCCAAATTTTTTTATCTTTCATACAACCAAGACATAAAGTTACCATGGCACAACAAGGATCTAAAGCGACTAAAAAATCGTCAAAATAGGCTTTTTAAAAGATTTAGGGCAACTAGGTACCAATCTGTGTTCGTCAGTTATCAGTACTGTCTTAGGAACTTTAATTCCTTGGACAAGATTCTCTATAATAAGTTTATTAGCAAAAGTGAAGCAGACATTAAAAACAACCCTAAAGCACTTTGGGCGGTATGTAAAATCTAAGAACGCCAAGTCGAGTGTGCCGTCCTCAGTCTTTTTGAATGACAAGGAGGCTAACACACCTGCTGAGGTAGCCAATCTATTCGCAGAATTTTTCTCCTCCAATTATATCTCGGATTCTAATGTGGCTTCGGAGCGTTACCCTCTTCCAGATTCTGCCCTTAACTTAGGCGCACTGCATATTTCTGACGTAGAAGTAGCCATGTGTTCCATAAAGCACTCTTTTAAATTGGATTCTGATGGCCTCTCAGGTGCTATGCTCAAACGTTTTCCCATCGCTTGTTCAGCCATTAACAATATTGTTCAATAAATCTCTTTCGTCTGGTTACTTTATTGACGACTGGAAAAATGCTTTCATTACACCAATTTACAAAAGTGGGAACAAGAACGACGTTTCGAATAATAGGCCAATTTGCAAACTGGGCACTGTCCCAAAAGTTTTGGAATCAGTTGTCAAACAGAAGCTCAATTTCGCAGTGAAAGGGTTAATTTACCCTTACCAGCTCGGGTTTGTTAGTGGGAGGTCGACTGTCTCCAACCTTGCTACATTCATGGACGACTGTATTGCTGCGATGCAGTCAGGTCCACAAGTGGACGCTGTGTACACAGACTTTTCGAAGGCGTTCGACAGAGTTTCGCATTAAGTCCTAATTAATAAGTTATCGCGATTGGGTTTTCACTCAACTTTTCTGGAATGGATAAATTCCTATCTGTCCGATAGGCGTTGTACAGTTGTTTTTGATAATATACTCTCCTCTCCTTTTGTAGCTACGCCGGGTGTTCCACAAGGCAGTATCTTGGGTCCTCTCTTATTTCTCTTATACATAAATGATATTGGATCATGCTTCCAGTCTTCTAATGGCCTTATTCATAAAAAATAAAGTAGGTATAAAGAGCTTTATAAAGTGACGTTTTCATAAATTTTTCAATTTGTGAACCTTTTTTAAAGCTACTTTATTTTTTATGAATAAGGCTGTAAGTATTTATTATATGATGACGATCTAAAGGTTTACTCAGTGATCACAAGACTCTTTTTTGCTGCAAGCTGAGCTTAATAACCTGCATTCTTGGTGCTCTCTTAACTCCTTATCTTTAAATATTAGTAAATGTTCCTATTCCACTTTCACCAGAAAGCTTCTTACCGTTCAAACCAATTACAATATTGGGGGCCATGATCTTAATTAATTCGCAGAGGTTAAATATTAGGGGTTTACTTCGACTCAAAATTAACCTTCGCAACCCATATTAATTACGTAATTTCGAAAGCTTATGCAATGATAGCATTCGTACGTCGTAATGGTCAGTTGTTTAAGGATCCCTATACTCTGAAGCTTCTTTGACAAAGATTCAAAAAGTTTTTATTAAACTTGCCTTGCGTTCTCTAAAATTTTCTGAGCCTATACCTCCGTATATTTCTGGTTGTCAACTTCTTAATTTAAGTTCGTTAAATACTATGCGTTCTTTCCTCGCAGCCTCTTTTGTGGCCAAAATATTGGAGGGCACAGTCGATTGTCCTAATCTTTTGGATAAGTTAGTATTAAACGTTCCGTCGCATAATCTGCGTCGTGTTTCTTTATTCTACCTGGGATTTCCAAA